TACCCGAAACATGATTGAATTCCTCCGGGCCCAAAGGCTCCTTATCGAAAATCGACGGACCGTCGTAGAGACTGTCCACTTCACCGGTAAGACGCTCCTTCACCTCCTCGGGTTCTTCATCAAACACCGGTGGACCATCGTACAATGGCCCGTCAACTTGCTCTTCGTCGAATTCGGGGATGTCAATGCGAAACAGGTCCTCCAATTGACCATATTCGCGATCAAGTCCCCAATCGTGTCGGGCACGATATCCGCCAGCGAAGGCTGCCTCCTCACGCCAGCCCCTATCGCTGCGTTGATCGTCGCCGTCCACGAAGACCGAGCCCCGTCGCCACATGTCACGGTCGCCGTATGCAGCGAAGGGGTCAGCCTCGACGTGCGGAGGTTGCCACTCGCCGAAGGAATTCACCTCCGAGATGTAATCCTCATCGTCTTCGTCGCCGGATGGTGGTTGTGGAGATCTCCGGCGGGGCACCCCGCCTGGACCACGGCCTCCACATCCTCCGTGAACTCCCCCGCGAATGCCACGGTTGCCGGTACGGTTCGTCTGCAAATTCTCAACCACGTTGTTGATCGTAAGACGCACTTCTTTGATCCCCGTCGAAAGATCTTCAACCCGACGATCCAATTGATTGATCTGGCGGCCGAAGCCCGTGGCTTGTCGACCTGGATACTCAATGGTGGCGTCACGCCCGTCGATATCGTCCTTCCGCGGCGACATCTTTAATCGTGTTGACTTCTGATACCAACTGATGTAGGGAAGCGTACGAATGGGACGATAAACGAGATATTCTCTCGTAAAACACGTAAAACTCACGATATCAGATTTATTCTAAAAATTCACTGCTGAATAACAAATAAGAGGGGTCTTTAAATAAGACACCCAAACCCTAAAATCTATCTTGTCCACCAAGTCACTAAATAATAATAATAATTTAAATAATAATAATAATAATAATAATAATAATAATAATAATAACAATACTAATCTACACCAGTTTTTTAGATGGAACCTCAGTAAGGCTCGTTTAGGCTCACCCTGCTTTCGTGCGCTTCATGTTTGTGCATTACAAGAAAATGAGAAAATTCTAACGAAAATATATTCAAATAGAATTCCAACGACAGTTTCAATAGATAATTTTCAATGTTATTATGTTCGTTGGAATTTTCAATGGATTTCAACGAAAATTCCAACAAAAATATTCCGCTGGAATGAGTTTTCCGTTGAATTTTGACGATACTAACAATAGATTTTCGAACGGGGATGAAAATAAAATTCCAACGAAAATTCCTACGGTAAAATGTCATTGAAAATATAGCCGTTTGAATCATCAAATTTCATCTAAAATTTCATTGAGAAATTTTCGTTGGAGTTTCCGTTGAAACTATTCCAACGGAAACTATACCATTGAAACATCATTAGAAATTTTTATTGAAATATATTACCATATGATTTTTTTTGAAATATAATATTTTTTTTTTATAGTGGCGTCAACCCATGTTTTTTCAGATATTTTATTAATTTCATATCAAATCAACTATAATAATTATACTTTATCTTATACTCATTTAAGATCCGAAAAGTATTTCACTTCTATTGAAAATAAATATTTTCATCTTAAATAAAAAAGATAGTTGATATAAACTATTCAGCCAGAATCATACAAAATTTGTCTGACAAAAAAAAAAAAAAAAAAAAAAAAAA